CTCAACAATAATAAAGAGAGAACTCAAACAATCAAGCCACCACGTATGAGCAAAGATTTGGCAATAGTGGGAAAGAAAAACTCCCTTTTAACAGGAAGAAACCTGCAGGGGAACCAGGCTCAGGGAGGGGCAGCCATATGCTGCGACAGGCTGGGGTGATGGAAGGAAAACAGGACAAAAGACACACTGTGGAAGAGCAACGGAGATTAATATCTAATAATTAAACACAGAGTGATGTGTAAGCACATAGTAAATGAAAAGGGTGAGTGAACACAAAACACTCATGGGAAGCAGCCTAAAAATATAAAATCATTACCAAAAATTAATAGTTCATGGTAAAACTGCTCCATGAACTACATTGATACTATACAATATCAGTATTGTACTGCACAGCACACTACGGCAGTGTGCCTTTTCATCTTGTTTACTCAAACTTTTTCCTCTTCTCTCTTTTTTTCTTAATCATTTCAGCTAGATTATTTTGGTTGCCTGAACCAATCAGTTAAACAGAAATGATCATACAATAGAATACAGTAAAATAGAATAGAATGTATTGCACTGCACCTCTACGAGCTGTGTTACATGTATAATAGGATGGAAAAGCCAGAGAGATTGTACTTCTGAGTTTCAGGTGCTCGTGTTAGCTATCGTGTTACTGTCTGTTGAGATGCCATGCTCCACGTTACTTCCTTCTTGAACCGTTGCGTTTGACAGATAATTAATAAGTCATAATAACAGCTTGAATAAAAGCTACATGGTATTCAGTAGGCTGGAAAACCTATATCTTTCTTTATGACATCATTATGGAAGCTGGTAATAATCTTAAATTACATGGTAGTCAATGTAAAAGAAACATGCTTTTTAAATGTGTGTTTATGAAAAAAAGAACTGAAAAAAAAATAAAATACTCAAGATGTATTAATAATTCAAATTCCAGCAGAAATAGACCTTGAGTTTCAGGTGCTCATTTCTGATCTTTGTGGGGTTTTTTTTCTATCTTCAGAGTAGTGCAGGTCACAGATGCTAAAATCTGTTCTTTATGACATAGAAAGGAAGTAAATTTGTGCTCTAATTAGTCTGGTCTTTTATTTCATCTTACCATCTGGCTTTGCGTGTTTTCCAATCCTCTGCTGATCTTCCTTCTGTTTCAGAAAAACAGAATTAAATCTGACAAAATTTGACAATATCACTCTGAAGTATTATGTGTGATTTCAAAATACACACACGTTGTGAGCCTGCAAATATAAATAAACAAGAAAGCTCTTGTTTAGATGCAAATATGATGGTTTAATTTTACTGCACAAAAACCAGTTCGTGCTTTTATCACGGGAGCTTTTCAATTCTGCCCAGTATTAGCTTTTAATTAAAGAACAGTGACTTCCCCAGATGTTTTATAACTTCAGTTGCTTACAATTACTCCACTGAATACTTTTTGTTTCTCACTTGAATTCAGATGAAAATGCAACTCATTTTTATTTTAGGGTTCGTGACCTTTAAAAAGTTTCCATGAAATTCTCTTGACAGGGGAATAAAAACAGATTCTGCGAACCCACTGACACAACATTCAAAGCCATTATGCATATGTGGGAAAGAAATTTAGTGATGTTCAGAAACTGTTGGCTGTGTTGGTGCGTTACAGCTCAGCCTGTAACGTGGAGAGCAGAGCTGGGAGCAAGATCAGTGTTTTTATTGGGGGGAAGAAAAGAAAAGTGAAATACAGAGAAGATGAGCACAACAGATAAAATATACTTTAGATAAACAACAAAAATAACATAGTATCAAAACCAATATTTGTTTCATTCTGGAAATATTTTCAAATCAGACATAATCAAAGCATTTTTCCTTTAATAAGTCTTTTACCAAGAGGGACGCATCCAAGACACGAAAATGTGCTCAGAGGAATAAAACTATGGATTTATTTGAGAAAGATGGAGTCGGAAAGAAATGTAACACTTAGTAATTTTCTTGGATGAAAGAATGTATTATATTACCATTGTTCTCTCTTTTGAAACTAATCAGACAGATACAGACACTTACTGTGCCTGGTGTTATTCCACTGAATATAAAAAACACAGCACAGAAAGTCTCATCTGTCTCGCCACAAAAAGACAGCAGCAATAGCGATTGTGCCATCATGCAAATAGATATTCGGTGAAGACCACATGCAGAGAGGCTCATTTTGTTTCCTCAGTTGTTTGTGTGTACTTTGGTTTTAAAAGTATACACACACAAATGTTGGTAGCCTACAAGGTTACATGTGGAATATGTAAAATCGTAGACAAACAGCTGCGACCGAGGACAGCAGAAGGTCTGTAGGCAGGAAAAAGTGTCTGTAGCCGATCATTTAGAGGATAAATCTTTAAGAGGACTGCAGTGACTCTTGAGTGACTGTAAAAGTGATTTTAGGATATGTATTGAGCGCCATTTGGCTTCCCCAAAAATGTGAGGGAAGAGAGGGAATCTTTCTACAGGCAGGCACATAATTAGCACTGTGGGACAATCACTGGTCTTCATAAATCACTTTAAAATCAGGAACATCTAAATATCAGAAGCAGTCACAACTCCAATTTGCTGGACATTTAGCCTGATAACATATTTGAGGCTCATATAAACAAATGTGGACGATAGGCACTCACAACATTTGTAATTCATCAGTGCCTCAGGCTTCTAACAGGAACACAGTGAAGGTGATATGTCTAAAACTGCCAAAACATTCTTAGATTCAGTCATTTTAATGCGTCCAAGGTTGCTTTAAAAATAGTTCAAGTACAAGTGTAAAATACAAGTGAAATGAGATGGCCAAAAAAACACACAAACAAACAAACAAATAAATAAATAAAATGTATACATCAGGCTGCTTATCTAAAAAACAAATAAGAACACGACTCCAGTAATTCCTGCTCTGGCTCTTCCTGAAGGTTCAGGTGAAATAAAAGAAAAAAGTAGCACGAAAAAAGACTGCAGACAAAGAGACGTTTTAAAATGCTATTATTGCAGGTATTTACATCTGTTTGCGATGGAGTCGGGTGGATATCACTGTGAGCTGTGTGAATAAATCAATCTACCACTCTTACAAGCAGAAGCTTGTGAAATAAGGTTTGAAAACCTGAACTCATAGCGGTTTCTGAACCATTTTTGCAGAGTTTTTCAAAGTCTGTAGATTGCCATGTTTTGTTTTTTTTCCTGTTCTTCAAGGTAGAGTGTGCTTCCTGAAACCAAAGTGCTGTAATGTGAAAAAGACTTTACCAAACCCTGAGTACTTTGTTGTGTGTACTTTGAGTCTCATTCACAGCTGCCAAAGGATTATCCAGTTCTTGGCCGTCCGTTAGCTATCGTGTTACTGTCTGTTGAGATGCCATGCTCCACGTTACTTCCTTCTTGAACCGTTGCGTTTGACAGATAATTAATAAGTCATAATAACAGCTTGAATAAAAGCTACATGGTATTCAGTAGGCTGGAAAACCTATATCTTTCTTTATGACATCATTGTGGAAGCTGGTAATAATAATCTTAAATTACATGGTAGTCAATGTAAAAGAAACATGCTTTTTAAATGTGTGTTTATGAAAAAAAGAACTGAAAAAAAAATAAAAAACTCAAGATGTATTAATAATTCAAATTCCAGCAGAAATAGATCTTGAAATGGTGACAGCATGTCAGAGAGGCTGTTCAGGTGGACATTTAACAGTGGTTAGAGCGAATTTTCTTTCACTAACTTCCCTCGCATATTTTATAAATAGAAAAAGCTTAATGTCATTAAATTAATATTGTGTCATCCACAAATATCTGAAAATGTCAAAACAGTTTCAAAAAGATAAAAGATTCTGAACTGAAAAATTGTTCTTGGATATAAAACATCAGAACAATGAAAAAAAGTTTGCTGTTTTTGTTTGATGGTGACGTAATAGTCCTCAGTCTCAAATTTGGGACTGCTGTGTCTGACACATACTTTTGGAATAAGGCGTAATGGTGCTAATTTACATTCAGTAAACAGTTACACAACCCAGTGCTTTGTGCACACTCTTCTGTTCTGTCTGCATTGCGAGTTTGGTAACCGCTTTCTCTTCTGAAAAGGTCATGTAAGGAAATAGGTCTTGGCTGACCTGAAGGTACAAAAGGAAAATGGATCTTGTGTGAACACGCACACACTGTGGAAGGAGTTTTATTCATTTCCCTCCAAGGTGTGTACGGTGAGAATAATGAAAAATTTAGGACAGTCTGTCTTCAGGTCATTGAGCTGCCTTCGTCAGATGTTTGGTGTTTTCTTTACACACATGCATGCTCTCAATCTGTCACTGGCCTGTATGACAACCTGAAACAGTCCCCAAGCACACTTTTCCAGTTCACAGAATCCACCCTTGCCTCCTTATCGCGTTATGTGTTTTACATATTTGCATACTTGAGTCTTTCCGAAGCAGCTCTGATGGACTCCAAATCACACACTGGGAAAATCGGAACGTCAAGAATAGCAGGATGCCTTAAGGCGTAAGACATCAGATTTAATTATTTTCCTCAACAAAAACCCTGCAGGTGCTCTTGAAACACAAAGTGAACCTAATTTAGAGTCCCATATAAACACATTAATAACAATTATGTATTTATATGCTCCATATTTTTTATCCAGATCTTCTCTCTGCTCTTTGCAAATAGAATGTTTGAACCACAAGTGTGGGGTGCTTCCACTAATGATATCCCTCAAAATGTAAGAGTCGAAAAAACAACTGGAAAACAGGCACTTTGGGCAGTCTCAATCCTGAGTTTAGGTGAACGAAACTCCAGCAGCACTTTTAGTATACATACAATGTTTATTTGCTCCCTAACAGTCTGCCTTATATGCCAGCCCATAATAGAAAAATGTGAGACAATGTACAGATGTCAGTGCTGCAGTAACAACTTGGGAAATGTGTAACGGCTAAATCAGAGGTGTGGTTACACTTCACTACTTCTTCGAGTCCTCCCGGTTATGTATAGTGACGTTTTCTGTATGTGTGTGCGTGCAGGCCGCAGGGTACTCGAATGATGTCAAAACCTGCGGGTGAGCAGCTCTCCAGTACCACCGTCAGCGAAGCCTCTACTGCCATCACCTCTTCCACTGTGGACACGTCAGCCTCCAAGGTTAGTCTGTGGTTTCAGTCTTTACCTGTATATATGTGTGTTTGTGTGTTAGTTCCACATTTGTCGCTTTCAAACAATGTCCTTTCTTGATTCGTTGTGGACTGGTTTTATGCTATAAAAGGGTGACCATCCAGGCTTTTTGGTCTTTGAGTTTTGTCTCCTACATTTTTGTGCGGTAGTTAGAATATTTTCAAGCAGCAACAGAGAGGATTGCCTTGTGAAATTTTTAGCAATTATGAGGCTTCATGTCTTTGTCCTGTTTTGTGAGAGTTAAAGCATATGAATCAAGTAGTAGTAGGGGTTGCATTGGCAGTACTGGAGTCTTCAGTTAGTTAAGGTTGCCGGTTCGAGCCCCGGCTTGGACAGTCTCGGTCGTTGTGTCCTTGGGCAAGACGCTTCACCCGTTGCCTACTGGTGGTGGTCAGAGGGCCCGGTGGCGCCAGTGTCCGGCAGCCTCGCCTCTGTCAGTGCACCCCAGGGTGGCTGTGGCTACAATGTAGCTGCCATCACCAGTGTGTGAATGTGTGTGTGACTGAATGTGTAAAGTGCTTTGGGGTCCTTAGGGACGAGTAAAGCGCTATACAAATACAGGTCATTTACCATTTTAACATCCACAATCAGTTTTGTGTTAAATGCACTGCACTGAAAAGCCAAGTAGTACGTGAGCCATCAATAAAGGTCTGTTAGCTCTGTAATAAACCTACGATGTTCTCTGCAGCTTGTTAATGAAGAAAATCACTCCATTAATTCACCAGTGCAAAGGCTTAAAATGATCATTAAACAAGAAAAGAAAACGATGCTAATATCTGAATATACCAACAAACACAGGTACAACCACTGAACACAGTGAGGCATGACAAACAGACAGAGATGTCTTTTTAGTCTGTGGTACAGGAGAAATCCATTCTTTAGAATCAGTCAAGAGATGAGCGCTGGTTATCCATGGCTAGCCCCGAGAATGATCACAGCAGCCTGGGCTAGTGGGGGGAAAACATTATTTGTGGCCAGTGACTGACCTGATTAGCAGCAATTTTCAGCTGACTCACAGCAAAACGGAATGATGGATGAGGATGAGAAAATGGAAATTAAAAGCTTTTTGCAGCTGATCAAACTCTATTATGGCCATGCAGGGATTTAGACCTGAGGTGTAGTTTGAAATGGAGGTAGAGGTTGTAGGTTTGCACCATGATTAAGTGCAAAGTTGTCTGCTGGTTAGCAAGATTAGGTATGTTTCTATGTAACATAGAAGTTGAATGCTAGAATTACACTTAATAAAACTGGATGCAAGGTGCAAAGATGCAAATGTGTTTTGTTCTTCTGTAAATGTGCATATTTAAACATTGAAGTCTATGGAGATGTAATATCAGCCTTCACAACCTTATTTTTATGCTAAAAATTGACTGTGTAGATTCAGACATTTGATTTAGTGAACTCAGTATTACAGCAGGCTTCATTGTGATTAGGATTACTCCTTTTGTAAGTTATTTATGGTATATAGTTGATTCCACATTCCTTCCAGTATATTGTATTACCACTATACTACATCAATGAAAAATAGATTTGGTCTGTTTTCATATCCCCCCTCTTCCCCCTTTTTCTTCTATTGGAGCTTATTTGGTTTGTTTGTTTGTTTTTTTGGCAACATTTAAACTCCAGGTCTTCAGGTTTAATTTCTAGAATGCACACTAGTATTATTGCACAGTGATCGTATCTATGAAACAAAACTGAATTATGTTTGTAGTGGAGAAAGCACTTTTCTTTTGACTGTTTAACCTTGTTTTTGGTCGCCCTTGGCTCGGGCAATTTGCTTGCAAAATTACAAAATACTTGAAGCAAATCAGCAGAGACAGTGCTAATGAATTCCAATTTAATCTTCCAAATGCAGATCTCATGCAGGATACATCCCTTGTCATCTGGTTTAGTACACCATAAAGATGTCCATGCCACTTTTTTCAGTATAAATCTTACACTTGGTTTATACTCACACATGTATGCAGCTCCACGGTGGCGTGAAATCTCATCCTGCCCTATCAACAGGTGCCTCGGGACCAAGATTGAACATGTGTCATCGTGTACGGTACAGAGATGACAGGATATCCATCACAAAGCCCCATCACCATTCCCACACCCAGTGTTTTTCTGGTCTGCAGCTCTCCCAGGTGCTCTGGCTCATCACCCCTGCCACTAAGCAGCCGGGAAATGGCACAGGAGCCTTATTCTTAAAAGAAAAACTCTTAACAAAAGAATCTTTTTCTCAGAGGAAGAATGAGTCATTCCTACCCCCCTTGCTTTGCGCACAATCTTAAAATGAATCCGTATTTTGAGTAAGTCACATCTCTTCCGCCTCTGACAAAACATCAGAGAAGCAGTGAGACGTCCCACTTTCCCCATGAGCTGTGTCTCGCCGTTCTCCTGTAAGCACTTGTGTTCACTGGCTGCATATTTAGTGATGTTGTGTTCACAACTAACTTCTTTGGGATTTATCAAAGTCCGTGTCATTTAGACATTTCTGTTGGCTCCCAGTATCCTCTTATGAATTGTTTTGCCTTTATATGCCTCATTAATTCGCTGCCTCACTTTTGAAAGTAACTCTGCTCTTCAGGTGCTTCTTTGAGCATTAAAACCAACACATAATAGAACAGAGAACGCTGCAGAGTAAAGAGCTGTTCTGTTACGGACTAAACACATATTTGAGTTCCTGCATTAAGGGGGAAACAACAAGAAAAAAGGAAAAAGTCAAAGTAATTGGTGGCATGACTGTAGTGTTAGCAACACTGATTGTCCTGATTGTAAAATAGATGTAAATTACTTTAGGTAATCTTTAGGTCTTTAGGTTTGACAGGAAAGTTTGGCAGTCACAGATCTGCTTCGACCAAAATGGCTGACTAATGTAGGATAGTTTAGAGGGCTATCACCTGGGAGACATTGTTCAAATTCCATGTGAAGCTAAAAGTCAAGATGATTTATTTTTAGATGAATAGGCGTATGACAGCACTCATTGTGTGGAAGGGTCTTAGAACAGAGAGCTGTATTTTCCAGATTGAAGTGCAATTTTAAGAGTATATTTTTAATTTGGGTATAAAGAAAATTCTTGAAATTAGAAAAAATCTTTTTATATCTTACTGTGATGGAAGTGCAGCTAACAGACCTGATGATTACATTGAGATGCAGGAAACGCATTATGTCCTCTGAAGCTGAACTATATAGCGTTTGTCAAGCTAATATGTGACTCAAAGGTAAAATTTGTATTTTCATTATGTTTTAATTGCTGCCTAATTTATAAACACAGAGAGATTGGCAACAGATTGCAGGCAGTTTAAGTCAGATGGCTCACAACTTCTCTGCAACGTGTCTCTTTTCAGTAGGGAACTCAACTCAGCTGCTGAAGTGTGTGTGTGTGTGTGTGTGTGTGTGTGTGTGTGCGTGCGTGCGTGCGTGCGTGCGTGCGTGTCAAAGGTGTCTCAGTAGCAAGAATCAAAACAAAATTGGACTTCATTTTGGTTCTTGCTTAAGTAATTTATGCAGCTACACTGCAGCCATGGTTAGAAGTATGAGCAGTCATTTTGGAGGCTCTTGAAATGATTGTGCACTATGAGTGTGAAGATGGTGCCTCATCCTCCTCAGAGGACTTGGAGGCTGACATGGAGAAGGCCTCAGACCAGCTCTGACTCATCTGAAGGTGAGACTGGAGAGGAGATGGTTGAAGCAGTGACAGGATGAACTTCTCCATCTCCATATTTTGGTCTCCCACAAACGGAGCCACCAGCTATGCACTGCTGCTGATGGATGAAATCCTCCAGCAAATTGTGGCCATGACAGACATGCATGGGAAACACTCGGTGGCTTATGTGGACACAGAGGAACTGCAGGCTTATATAGAGATGCTTATTTTGGACAGTGTTTACAGGTCATAAAATTAATTAATTTTTTAAAGATCATCTAAGGGTTAAGTTAGCCCGGCTTGACTCTTGTTTGTTATTCTTTACCACTGATTTGATTCATCGTACTGGTATTGCTCAGGCATCTTTCTAAAGGGAGAAGGAATCACAACCCATGTTTAATTACCTTACCCTCCCAGATATTTCTCATATGGCTAGGGAATGGAGCCGGTAGCCCTCGGGTCTCAGAGGGACGTCTCTTGGCATTTTGGTTGTCTGATTGTGTACCATTAAAATAGCAAATAGCTGGTTTGACTCTCAGTCACACACCTACAAGACAGAGTGCTACTGTGCAGCAGGGACCACAGTCTGTTCCACAAAATTACATTCGGCCTAAAAATAGACCACTGCATCGTACACACACACACACACACACGCGCGCGTAACAGAGAAAGCAATATCTCTGAAATACACACATAGTATATTTACAGATATGGGACTAGTGTGAGAGGACTGCGTCATCCTCTGTCAACCAATCCTCTCACTAATTACTGAGTGCATTTGTTTTTGTTTTCCAGCTACTGATGCCTCCCAGTGCTGCTACCAGTCCATTCACACGCTTATGCAGCCGTCATGCCAAATCTTTTATTATGCCAGCAGGAGAGGTGACAGGGTGTACATGTCTTACTTTATGTGTATGTGTATATGTGGTGCCGGGGGAACAGGCCTTCTTCTGAGGATTTGAGAGTAGAGGATGGTCTAATGAGATTTCTTGAATATTTGCACAGTGCACAAGTATATTATCCAGCAGGCCGGCACAAACAAGAATGTAAGAAAGGTTTGTTTAGCCAAAGAAACTCCAGCACCCAGTATTACTGTATTATTTATTATACTTATTATAGGTCAGGGGGCTGAAATGGCACTGAATAGCCTACTAACAAAATGTTAAATACGTCTAAGAACTGGCCCGTCAGGTAGGGCTGGGCCATATTATACCGTTCACGGTAATACCGGTATAATGTTAGGCAACGATAGGAAAATGAAATATCGCGATAGAATGGGAGTAAAACGCGCATGCGCAGTGCCTTTGTTTTCATACGCACATGGCCGATTGTTGAGTGA